GTTTCATTTGCCTTTCTCATTTTCTCTTGGCCCTTTCCCTATCAGGTAAATGAGATTAGAATGTCATTTACATAAACCTCTCAGATAGAAACAACAGTGGTGTAACTAAAAAAGATTAATCCTCACTTCTCCCTTTGACCCTGTCTCCCAATCCACATTATTTAAAAACCTGAAAAAAATTGCTTTCATCCTAGACGCAAATCCAGATCTCCTTCCCCTAGAAGACGATCTTCCCCTGTCAGGAGAGAGAGAAAGCGCAGTCATTCTCGATCTCCCCGTCACAGAACCAAGAGCCGGAGTCCTTCCCCTGCTCCAGAAAAGAAGGAAAAAACACCAGAGCTCCCAGAACCTTCAGTGAAAGTAAAAGAACCTTCAGTACAGGAGGCCACTTCTACTAGGCAAGTACATAAAAAATCATTTATAATCAAAATTTTATGCTGTTAATAGTGACTGCAAATATGTCATCTCTGAGGTAAACACCTAAGATTTCTTGTTTTTCTTTTACGTTTTTATTTATTTAAATTTGAGTCCGAGTCTCATTCTGTCACCCAAGCTGGAGTGCAGTGGCATACTCACAACTACTACAGCCTTGACCTCCTGGTCTCAGGTGTCAAGTAGCTAGAGCTACAGGTGCATGCCACCACAGCCAGCTACTTTTTTGATTTATTTTAGAGACAAGGTCTCACCAAGTTGCCCAGGCTGGTCTCAAGCCTCTGGGCTCAGGTAGTCCTCTCACCTCCACTTCCCAAAGTGTTGGGATTACAGGCATAAGCCACTGCACTGGTCCCTTTTAGATTTTTTAAATTATAAAATTAGTTTATTGACAATGAGAAAATGAAATTGTTTAGGAGAGTGTATTTTAAAGGAAATGCTCCAAGAATGTTCACTACTGTCCTTTGGTTGTGTTGTTTCACGTATTTTATATATTATAAATTTTTTCTTAATATATTGTGAGCAACTTTACACTTTATTTTTTTATTTTTTATTTTTTTGTGGTTTTTTTTTTTTATTAATCAGTATTTTTTATTATGGTTTTGTGGGGTACAGTTAAGGTTAGGTGTACAATTACGTTTCATTCAGGCACCCTGTCAACTTTACACTTTAAAAAATATATATGTGGCTAGAATTGTTAGTAGCTTACTGAATTTCACAGATATATATATATATGTATATATATATCTATGTCTTGGAGCTAGAGGAAGTCTTTCTGGATTTTAAAAACTTTTTTAAAATAAATACTTTGTTACATCATTGTTATGACTTAGACGTCCGAGTATAAGAAGGTGGAAAAAATGAGCTTTGTCTCCACAGTGACATTCTGAAAGTTCCCAAGCCTGAACCTGTTCCAGAGCCTAAAGAACCTTCTCCAGAAAAAAATTCTAAAAAAGAAAAGGAAAAAGAGAAGACCCGACCAAGATCTCGGACACGTTCCAAATCAAGATCCCGGACACGGTCTCGCTCTCCTTCTCACACTCGACCTAGACGGCGCCATAGATCCCGATCAAGGTGAGTTGTGGCTTTACGATCAATATAGATCTTATGTTTTATGTGCTACTCTCCTAGGTAGAATTAGGATAATTTCGAAGCAGTAGAAAATGTCTAGCATAAATGTTGCATTTTAGATTTACATAGAGAATTTGAGGACACTGTTTGTGTACCCTAAACATCTCTATGTAAATGAAAAATTGTGTTCCTTGATATTCATTTTTTAAATGTGGCCCTTAAGAATTAAGTCAAATTCCTCACTCCTGATGTATTGAGACCCTATTTCTGTTTGTTGCGGCAGATCATACTCACCTAGAAGACGGCCAAGCCCAAGAAGGCGGCCATCTCCTCGAAGAAGAACTCCACCAAGACGAATGCCTCCCCCACCAAGGCACAGAAGGAGTAGATCTCCAGTAAGACGGTAAGGTTTTTTAAATTTGGAAGTGTCCAGTGTTTTACACTTTAGGTTAATCTTTGGGGATAATTTTAGGGTAATCTTTACGTTAGTGTCCCCAGGAAGAAAGAACTCAAAAGTGGTGTTAGATAATGTTTTCTAAAGAACCTATTTCATTTGAAGTGTAATACTGTTGTTTGTGCTGTGAAAAATACCTAGTTCAGTGTTGGAAAGTAAATAAGAAATCCACCATCTTGTTTATACTGTGCTAACTTTTGCCTTTTCAGACTTCACCAAGAAATCCTACCAAGTAAGGGAATTGACCACCTTCCCTTTGGCTTTTAACTGGCTTCTAAAAAGTAGCTGAATACAGGGCTAGTAAGCTCCTTTTACCAGTGTTAAAATATTCCATTTACTAGTATACCTTTATTTCCTTAATGTGTTTTTTTTCTCATTATAGAAGTAATGAGGCTTATAAATAAATAACAAATTGAAACTTCCCCATGATCCCATTCCACAGATACAGCCATTAGTGTAGTTTGGTGTCTGGTTATTTTTGAAGCTATTGGGCATAAATCTAACCCTGACACTGCTAATGTTCTTTTTCATAAATCATTCTAAAATGAGCATAAGATAATATGTTTGGATCTTAGGTATATCACTTTTAACAAAAAGATTGTGGCTCAACCTACCCACAGTAGAGGTCTGGTGCACTGGCAGCAGAATTTTTGTGCCTTCTTGACAATAATATTTCACCTCTTTGGAAAGAACTGTGATAATTAAGCTTTCAGGTTATACTTTGGACAGAATTTTTGCC